GTATTATGAATTATTTCAGGAGACATAGATGATTGTGACACACTGGTACAGCCCTGCATGTGTGACCACCGGCCTTCAAAAGCCCTCTCTCCAATACATGAGATGGACATAGCAGAGGCATTTGAGCACAAAGTGGAATCAGAAGTCCACGTCCTAGACAGGGACTCTCAAGACGGTCAGCACTTTGCAAACCAGGACTGGACCCTGCTGAGACAGCTGCTTTCTGAACAAGATGCAAACTTAAATGTCACACATTCTCTTCCTGAAGACCTAAGCTTAGCACAGTATTTAATCAAGCAGACACTCCTATTAGCTCGAGATAGCTCAAAACCTCAGGGTTCAGCACACGCCGACTCTTGGAACAGGTGGAGTGAACTCTCGTCTCCACTTGACGATTCCTCAGCAAGTAACACCACGGCTAGCGATCCCTCTGACGGTTGTTCACCTCTAGGGGAGTGGACAATCCTGGAGTTGGAAACTCAGCATTAAGAGTTTCAACATTTAGGAAAAATTTAAACTGTGCCACCATGTATTTTTTTATGCCTATGCTATATTTATAATTTAATTAGCCAGATATAGACTGTCCTTAAAACTGACGGAGTCTTCAGTTTATTGAGGTAAATATAGCTTATTTAATAATATGATATCTCATGTTAAAATGGTTTTCTAAAGTTTTGAGCATGTTTTCCATAACTTTAGAGAGACTAGAAGACTTATAGAAAATCTTTGCTCCACTATTCTTTCCTAGCTGATAATTTGTTCATTTATTCAGGAATTTCCTTGTCAGTGCACAAAGAGATCAACCCCTTACTTTTGATTCTGCATATGGTACCATAATAATTTAACAATAAACTTACTGGTGTGTGTATGCATTATATAAAGTCAATCTGTGAATAACATTCAAACTCAGACTGAGCGCTGGGGTTGGGGAGACAGAGGGCCCCCTCGGCTTTCCCACCATCTTGGGACCAGGACATTGAGAAGTGAGTGTACCTTGGGCTTCAACCATATTTTTAATAAACGGAGACATGGGGCTTTCTGGATATATCCAAGGATAGGCACTGGAAACTGTCTTGTCTCCATGGACCCTACCACTTAGTCACTTTATTTTCCATGCCATGATAAGAATACTCTGGAACTGCCCTTCACCCAGCTAGCACCAAGCATTAACTGAGGTGAGTGTGTGGGGCAGCCTTTGAGTCCTGATCTTATGTGGCTGTGTGCTTCCTGGTGTCTGCTTAGAGCCTTCTTTGTGGTCAGACTTCTCTCAGTCCGTAGTTCTGTAGGAAAACAGGTACACAATGCTACCAGAGAACAAACCCTTGGATCTTAGGTGATGGTGAGCATGGCCCTTTAAGGTCATGGGATTTCAAACACTGGGTCTTGTAACTAACTCATGTTTCTCTAGAATATGTCAGAAGTAAGGGAATATTCAAAGTTAAAACTTTTCTAAAATAACAATAGGGTGTATACATACATTGAACATAACAACCAGGTTAATATAGAATTACTTGTTCTAAAATAATAATTATGTTTTCATTTAAGTACTAATAATCTATTATACCATAAAGTGTATTCTTTTTTTCTTCCCCCGTGCATTTGCCTTCATATATGTCTGTGTGAGGAGGTCAGATCCCCTGGAGCTGGAGTTCCACACACTCGTGAGCTGCCATGTGGTTGCTGGGAATGGAATCCAGGTCCCCTGAAGAGCAGCAGCCAGTGCTTTTAACTGCTATCTCTCCAGCCCAAACTTTTTCATGCCTTTAAAAAAAAGTTTTAAATGTTCTTTACTTATTCTGTGTGTGTCTGTGTGGGTAGGCTGTGCACATGTGTCACAGCAAGCATGTGGAGGTCAGAGGACTTGTGAGAGTGACCTCTCTCCTCCCACCTCATGAGTCCCAGGGATTGAACGCATACCGTTGGGCTTGGAGGCAAATGCCTTACCCACTGAGCAATCCCTCCATTCCCGGTTTTACTCCTTTTTAAGAAGCGAGACACTCAGCACAATGTAGTGGTGGCGCACGCCTTTAATCCCAGCACTCTGGAGGCAGAGGCAGGGGGATCTCTGTGAGTTTGAGGCCAGCCTGGTCTACAGAGTGAGTTCCAGGACAGGCTCCAAAGGTACACAGAGAAACCCTGTCACAGAAAACAAAACAAAACAAAAAGCCAACAACAAAAAGGAAACTAGACACTCTATACAGGATATTCTGTCATTTCAGACAGCTATTAACTCGGTTATTTAAGGCTTTGAATGTAAGCACTGAAGCGTGACGGTGAATAAAAAATAAATGGTCCAGTTTCTAGTGGAGGGCAGGGTGATGTAAGAAAACCATTTAAATATGAACACACTTCATACGTTGAAGCTGGGTGGGAATTTAAAGATTAGACTAATCTCTTTAAATGGTAAAGGAAGGCTTTTTACGATCAGAAGACTTAACAGGTTACGCAGCTAACGTGTGGGTGAGAATCCACTATTTCTTAATTCCAATTTGCTGTTATTTCTACCACACAAAACACTTCATTTTCTCACCAAGCTGTGAACAAACATTTACAAGTAGTTTGTAGTATTAAAATGTTTTTACATGGTAACACTTAAAGCACACATTTATTCCCAGGACACTTATGCGTTATTTTTTTTTTCTGAATGTGAAGCTGTTTTACATGTTCCTTTTAATAAACATCCCCCAGAGTTTAGAAAGTTATAATTGAAGTTGCATTCCTTTCCCATCCTCGGGTCTTAAAACTCCACCCTAGCTGGGCGGTGGTGGCGCACGCCTTTAGTCCCAGCACTCGGGAGGCAGAGGCAGGCGGATCTCTGTGAGTTCGAGGCCGGGCTGGACCGATAGCCTCCCAAACAATACAGAGAAACCCTGTCTCGTAAAAACCAAAAAAAAAAAAAAAAAGCTCCACCCTAAGTTATTAAGGCTTTAAAACACACTCAGTTACACACCACTCCTACAGACACATCACCGGAGAGGCATTTTGCCTAAGTGGTGTCCACCTGGGGAGCCCGATCACGTATGACATGTTTACAGCTGCTCTGTGAGTATCTGCAGGGCTCTAGCAGTGTTCACTGTGTACCCAGGCATAGATATACATGTACACTAACATTCATCTGCCATTGGTCATAGTAGAGACTGCCAAATGCCGTGTACACACCAGCACAGGTAAATGTCAGACAGGTCTGTAAAATGTGTATTCTTTATTTTACACATAGGAAACAAACCTTAATTCTTTTTTTTTAGTATTCATTCATTGTGAGGAAGAATGGGGACTGAATTCAGGTTGTTGACTTGCCCACAAGCACCTTCATCTGTTGAGTTGGTCCCAGAAACTCTTTAAGTTGTATATTCTGTATTTTCCCCTTGTTCTGGATGCTCTGACGTAATGGAAGAAGCCAAAGAAAAATAACAAACTTTTATCCTATGGTAAAATCACACTTGGACATGTTCTGTTAGGAGAGCCAAGAGAAGTCACAAACAGCTCACCAGGAGGTCAGAACTTGTCAGGGACACTCCAGCTAAGCTGGGGCTGGAGTCTGCCGCCTGTACCACTGGCTGTGGAGCTGGTGCCGAACATAAAAGGCATGTCATTTTACTTGGTTTGCTGCACACCATTAGGGATACAAACTTGTCAAAGATGTTTTTGTTCAGAGCTCACGTGAGACTGTGAAATTCCGATCAAGAAAAGTGGTTTTTTGTTTTTGTTTTTGTTTTGTTTTGTTTTTTTGACTTGGGTTGTTGGGAAGAGGAGAAAATGTTTGGAGAAAATGGAAAGCTCTTCAGTCCTCTTCCTTGGGTCAGCCAGGTAACACATGGTGCTACTTGTAAGGGTGATCTTAACACAGCAGCACTTTGAGGAAAGGTGTCCAGGGCAGGCATCTGGGGAGGTAGTGCAGACAGAAAGGAAGAGAGAAACTGGAACTGGGTGTGAAGTAACTCAGAGTCCCTAAGTCTCCATTATACGTTCATTTATTTGGGTTTAACTCTCAGTAGGCAGAGTCTGTCTGTGGGGAATTAACTGCCGTTCTGACAACTTGATGGACATGTGTGATGTACTGTGATTGTATCCGCCGCGTGTTACCCTCTTCACAACGCTGTTGCTGACCCCTTCTTGCCAACCAGTCCCCCTCCGTTGTTGTCCTGTGTGTATGTGTCTGCATGTGTGTGCACATGTGTTAACAAGTTCATGGCCAGCCTGTGCTGTGTGACATCTCAAATAAAAAACAAACAAACAAAAAAAAAAAACCTTGATAACGGGACGTAAGATTAGGAGTTGAGTGACAAAGGAAGAGACATTGGTGAGAGTACTTTGGAATGATAAGAGCTTAAAGGGGTGGCATAGGAGAGACAGGATAGGATGTATTTGAGATAGAACTGAACAAACTACTAGCCAGATACAGAAATGAGAAGTCAACTTGGAAGATTTAGGTTACTGGCTGGGTTGGCCTAGATGGCTGATCAACCAAAAACTGAAATAAGTGTAGGAGAGAAGATGGGTTTAATTGAGGACATACTGAGTTTGAGGTGCCTGTGGGACAAAGAGCTGGGGATAGAAATACCGTTGAACGTTCAAGAAAAGAAAGCCCTGAGGAGATGAAAAGCAGGGATGCTCAGAAACAGAAGTAGGAAGTTGTCCTGAAGAAAGGTGATGACGTATAATCATTGCTGCTAATTAGAGGAGGGTGTGTCTGAGTGCAGGCTCCTCCTCCGACTTCTCAAACCCATAACTCACAAGGATTTTTAACAGCCCTTTTCTCTTTGTAAAGGCAATGCTGGCAAGAGAACAGTGTTGAGGTTCTCATGTCATTTTAGGAGTACAGCTTACCTTTCCAGTAAATGGTTAGGCAACTCTGTCAAAAGTGTTCATGACTGGCCGGGCGGTGGTGGTGCACGCCTTTAATCCCAGCACTCGGGAGGCAGAGGCAGGCGGATCTCTGTGAGTTCGAGGCCAGGCTGGACCGACAGCCTCCAAAACAATATAGAGAAACCCTGTTTCGTAAAAACCAAAAAAAAAAAAAAGTGTTCATGACCTCAGATCCAACCCACGTTCCCCCTGTTGGGATCCCCCATTAAGAGAAAAGAATTGGAAGGCCTTTGGTGGTGTGTCTGAAACCCCAACACTTAGAAGAGGCAGGAAAATCACAATGCACAGCCAACCTGGGCTACATAGCAAGACCCTGTCTGTGATTAAAATAATAATCTCAAACAAAGGCTTGTCTAAAAAATGTTTATCTTCGAGCTAGATGGAGGAAAAAAATTTAAATAGGGCTGATGAGATGGCTGGGCAGGTTAAGGAGCTTGCCACCAAGCCAGATGACCTGTGTTCAGCCCCCAGCCCCTGCTTGGCAGAAGGGAAGAACCAACTCCCACAGATTGTCCTAACCCTCCACATGCATGCCTCGACATGACATACCCAAAAAACAACATTTTTAAGAAAAGTTTTTAAATAAATCATGTAGTGTATCTATAACTCATGCAGTGATCAAAACTGCTTACAAAAATCTCTAACAACAAGAAAAGATGATTGTGGGGGAGAAACGGGTTGTATTTATGTATGTAGCCACATAACATCCCAACTTTCTATGTCTTGTGTGTATAAAAATATTTAAGGCCAATCCCTTTATAAAATTTCAGCTGCATTATATAGTATTGACCGTTGTAACCATGCTGTACTTAGAAGAACTGGAATCTGTACCCTTTCACTAGTATGTGCCCTTTTCGCGATACTTTGGCAACCACCATCCCATCATGCTTCCATGAGTTTCACACTTTTAGATTCTACACACAACGGGCACCATGTAGTGTTTGTCTTTCTGCACCTGATTCACTTCACTTGATGAGATAGCACATTAATGCCGCAAGGCCCAGGACTTCCTTTTTCTTTTTTCCAGAGGCTGATCAGTACTGTATTTTCTATCCATTTTCAGATGTTGCTTTTTTTTTTCTGGGCAGGCATAGACAAATGCTTGTTCACCCTAGCTAGGGCACATACCAGGGAAGCAGTTCTACCCGAGTCTACCTTAGTGGATCAGTGGGTTTATTGGGTTTACTTTCAGGAGCATGGGTATACAAGTCCGTCATAGAAAAGCCCGTCATCATGGGTGTCCCCCGAGCTCTCTCCATAGCTCCACACTGCTCACCCTGCTGGAGACATTAAGGTGCTTATGTGGGGAGCGGCCTTGTGAATCTCAATAGCTTCATGAGCCTGGAAGTTTCTTGTGTTTCCAATTTCACCACAGAGAAGAACTCAACAGGCAGGAAGTACCCACACAACAGTCACTCGTGCCTTCTCTTTCACAAAGTTGCCTGAGCCTAGGAGCCGACGCTATAGATGTGCGATTTCCTTTTTCTTCCCAGTTACAGTTGACCATTGGCCCTTTGTGCCTTGGCAACAGTCACTTCTCTGCAGGAATCACAGGCTGACCCGGAAGAGCCCCTCTGCTGGCTAGCTCGGTTTCTCCGTCCCGGTCAACCAAAGGACGTTGTGTCTTCAGTTGACTGCATGCCCTCAACAACAGTGGCAAATGGCCTTCATGGTTTGTGAAGCCTCCCCCCCGCCCACAACTCAACGGGAGACGAACCATCCTGGATACTGGGATTTTACGTTCAGTAACCTTATGGCTCCTGGGAGTGCCATTATCATCTCCTTAACTGCGATTTTTACGGTCCTTCAAGCTGATCTCTTGAAGTCTTTACATTAAATACTCAAAGGTTAATATTATGTAATGAAATCTTTTTTACAGAAGGAGGCAGGATCTCCATCTGGGGGCCTGCCATCACCCGTTACAAGTTTGATGGCTAAGGGGTTACTTTTAAAAATCAGTCTAATAGTGCATGAATTATCCCATCACTTGTGTCAGTTGTCAGAGGAGCAAAGTTGGGTACGTGGATGGGGACTTTGTTCACCCAGCCCCTCATGTCATTTGCCTTGAGCCTCATCCTGTGGTGGCACTACTGTCACCATGGAACCACTGCACAGTTCCCACCTCTGCCAGTCTCTGTGCTTTTTTGTTTTGTTTTCCAGACAGAGTTTCTCTGTATAGCCTTGTCTGCCCTGGAAGTTGCTCTGTAGACCATACTCGAAGACATCCACCTCTCTCTGCCTCCTGAATGCTGGGATTAAAGGTGTGTGCCACCGATGCCTGATCTCTCTGTGCTTTTGACCCAGCTCAGGACCAACAGAGAGCAAAGCTGAGCTTTAGCCTGCCGTGCCTGCCGTGGAGCCAGGTCCCTGGTTCTGATGGGCTCTAGGCCAATACCGTGACCTTTGTCTTTCCATCAGCCAAACCCAAGCTGGATCAACAGTCATCACGCTCTTACTTTCTCCGCACCGGAGAAACACATCCTGCATTCTCTGGGGACAGGACTGCCCATCCTCGCGGTAAGCTTAACTTCTCACCTCCACAGCTTTATCATGTATGCTGTATGTAAATTGTATGTAAATTATTTCAGCTTTAAAGCCTTCAGAGGCTAACAACTCGCATTACATTTGGTACTCTGTTAACTTTCTCATGGGAACTCCAGCTCAGTAATTAACATGTCACATTTGCCTTTGAGTGACCTGGACAGACGTATTTGCCCATCTCTCATCCCAAAAGCTTTGGTGCCGTACAAAGCAAACTCACGCGCCAGTCTAAATCATTTAGATCCACCAAGGCTCCCCTCTCTCATGAAGAGCATGTCCTACCGTAAAGAGATCTTCACCCATGCCGTCATGGGCTTCTCTGTGGTGGCGTAGCATACCCCAGGGCTCAGGGTCCCACGTTTTCTGCGGACAACCCTCTTTCCAGCCCTCCTGTGAACCTCTGTGGCACCCAAACATCGCCTCTCTCATGCCCAGTTGCCTTACTACTGTCTATCCTTCCTATATTGTTTTCCATTCCCTGATAATTATGGAGACCCCAGCCAGTGACAACTAAGTGTCCCTGGGGGCTCATTTGAGTGTTTTCTGTCATATTGCTTCAGGCTATATTGTATATGACAGACCAACCCCATCTGTCCCCATATGCCACAGCCTCATAAGCCATTTTGTGCAAGGTTTTTCATTCTTCAGAGGTCCCCCCCCAATTAAAGGAGTTTAAGTGCAGAGTTTCCTGATCATCTTGGATTTCTACACCGAACCATTATTAAGGCCCTCGGTCTGCATGCTTGGATCATGGATTTTCCCTTCCTCTCTGTTAAAGGTTGGGTTTGAGGGTATCTCTGCCCCACTGCCTCCCTCTTCACCGCCTGGTTCTTTCCCTGGGGTTCCACATTTCTGGATCAGGAAGTGCTCCTCAGATCTAGCTTTGCTGGTTCCCTTGCATCCTGCCAGCTGTATGAAATGGCAAGCTACCACTTCCTCCTCATACTCCCTTCCCCACCCTCCCTGCCAAAGCAGAAAGCAGCTGCATGCTTTTCCTGGCGTGATCCCCTCACACGAGCAAGCTCGCTGTGGCAAACAGCTTCGCTTCAGCTGTGTGTCTTAGAGGCCACAGCAAAGGCCACACAGCAGCCATCACGGCTCGCTTAGAATCCTGTCCCGTATGTTCAACCCTGAGCTATGTCTTCCCTAATTCCTCAGCTGTTTGGGATAGGTTTGTAAAATGGACCCCATTCAACAAGGATGCATACTAGCACATACCACATAGAGAAGAAGACAGTCACCTCAACATTATCCCCAAGGAAGATCCCCCTCAATTGGTTCAGCTTTGGTGGCATGTCCTACAACACGTTACAGGGCACACGCACCTACTTCAACAGCCAGGAGGCACGCCATGCTGAACCACAGTGGGTAAGAGCTCCATCAGGGTCACTCCAGACACTCTGCCCGATGGTCAGCCTCAACCACTGCTTCAGAAGCCAAGCAAACCTTTCCCCCAGCTCATCTTTGGCTCTGTCAGCCCCTCAGCCCCTGTCCACGCACGTACCAGCTGCATTGCATGACTTTTCCTGGGGAGACCTGAACAAGTATCTCTTCACCCAGACTGGGCACCAGCGGCAAACCAAGGAAACGATTCCACCCAAGTCTAGCTGCATCACCAGCAAACATACCCCTGATGCGCGTACACGGACACACACACACACTCTCTCCTCTCTCTCTCTCTCTCTCTCTCTCTCTCTCTCTCTCTCTCTCTCTCTCTCTCTCTCTCTCTCTCTCTCTCTCTCTCTCTCTCTCTCTCTCTCTCTCTCTCTCTCTCTCTCTCTCCCCCCCCTGTGATGACTCACAAAGGCTGCATCCTGGAGCTCCCTCCATGTCTTGTTTCGACAAGCCTTGCTACAGTCTCCCCAACATGAAAATGTGGGGAGGGACCTTGTAAGTCTTGTTACTTTCCGAGCTTCTTCTTGCAGGAAAGAATATTTCTCCAGAGGAGTAGACACTTAGGTTGGCTCCTATCTCAGCTATTGTGAATTATAATGCAGCAAACATGGGGATATAGGTAACCTTGAGAGACAAATTTCATTGCCTTTAGATGCACAAAGATTCAGTAGGATTGCTGGGTCCTAGGATAGTTACAGTTTTTATTTTTTTATTAGTGGGATTGAATTAGGACTGTAGTTGGTTGTGTGTGTGTGTGTGTGTGTGTGTGTGTTTCTCTCTTACTCTTTGGTAGCCTGTCACCTAGCTCCCAAATAAACTCACGGAAACTTATTCTTACTTAGGAATGCCTGGCCTTAGCTTGACTTATTTCTAGCTAGCTTTTCTTAAGTTATCCCATCTACCTTTTGCCTCCTGGCTTTCACCTTTCTCTATTCTATATACCTTTATTTCCTTCTTACTCCATGGCTGACTGGGGGGCTGGCCCTTTGTGCCCTCCTCTCCTCCTCCCTCTCTCTTCCTGTTTTTTTCTCCAGCCTAGATTTCTCCTCCTATTTAGTCTCCCTGCCCATCAGCCCCACCTGTTTCCTCTCTTGCCTAGCTTTTGGCCAGTCAGCTCTTTAGTAGACCAATCAGGCAGTTTAGGCAAGCCAAAGTAACACAGCTTCCCAGGGTTACAAAAATGCAACATAAAAGAATGCAACACATCTTTGCATCATTAATCAAATACTCCACAGCATAAACAAATGTAACACATCTTTAACATTCCACAACACAAGACCATGTGTGCTATCACTGTCTAATATCTTTTTACTGTGAGACAGGACCTCACTAAGTTACTCAGGCTAGCCTTGAACTTCTGATCCTTCTGTCTCAGCTTCTTTAGTAACTGGAATTATAGGTCTACATCACTAAGCCTGATTTCTAATTTTGATTTCTCTTTGTTTTTTGAGTCTGGGGTCCTTGTTCACCTCAGTCTGGCCTGTGATGCTCTATGCAGCACAGGCAGGCCTTGGACTCATTTTTCCCTCTGCTTCTGCCTCCTAAAGACTAGAGTTACCTGGTGGCATGTGTCACCATTGATTTTTCTGAGGAATATATCTCCTCTTTTTCCCAGAATGCCCGCACAGTTTACATTTACAGCAATGTAGTGAATACACTCTCTTCTCTACATCCTAATTAAAAGCTAATTAATGCCCTTTGTTTTTGATAATAAGCATCCTAGCAGTTATGGTCTCATTGCTATTTTAATTTGCATTTCCCTCATCATGGTGATCTTGAGCATTTTTTTCTGTATATAACCTCCTCCCCCCATTTCCTCTGGAGAGCTCAGAGTTGCACCCAAGGCTTGCTTTGTGCGTGCTAGGCTAAGGCACACTTCTTTTATTCACTATTGAGGTATATCTATTCAGATCTTTTGCACACTTTATAATCAGGTTGTTTTCTCGCTCTTTAGCTGAGTTCCTTATGTATTTTGGATTTTTCTTATTGGGTATATGTTTTCCAAATACATCTTCCCACTCCATAGGTTGTCTCTTCAGTGCCCTTTGTCAATCAGCTCTGTTGTTTGCTTTGTTGTGCAGAAACTTTCAGTTAGAAGCAATCATGTTTCATTTTTGTTTTGATGCCTGGGGGTTGCATGTTTTTTTAAGAACTGTTGCCTATGATCAGGAGAGATGGCTCAGTGGTAAAGAGGCTGGGATCAGTTGCCAGCACCCACACTGGACAGCTTACGGCTGCCTAGACGGACACATGTATGTATGCACACACTTGCACACAGGCACATACACACATGCACACACACAATTAAAAACAAATGATTCTTAAGATTATTGCTTACACCAATAGAAAGAAGCTTGTGCCCCATTTTCATCAAATAATTTCATCTCTTACTTTTAAGATGTCAGCAGGCTTTAAGTTGATTGTTGTGGACGAAATGAAGCAGAGTCCCAATTTCATTCTTCCACGTGTGAGTAGTCAGCTTCTCGGCGCTGTTTATGGAAGAGATTGGCCTGGCCTCACTGATGAGGATGGGTCGACTATGCATGTGTGGGTGTATTTCCGAGCTCTCTGGTTATAAGGTCTGTTTTTGCAGTCGTACCATGCTGCTTTGAAGTAAAGTCTCTTTTTTGCAGCGTCTTATTTGGAATAAATTACATAAAACATACAGTCAGAGTAGCATTAAATTAAACCATAATAAACCGGAAGGAGGTAACACAGACAGTCATGGTGCCCAGTCAGGAAGAAGGGTTGGCGAGATGGCTCAGCAGGTAAAGGCGCTTGCTGCCAAGCCTGGTGATCTGAGCTCCATTCCCAAGACCCACATGGTGAGAGGAGAGGACCAACTCCCTCAGGTTGTCCCCTAACCTCCAAAGGATGCTGTGGCAGTACAAACACAAGCACACACAATGAAGCACATCCACAAACACGAGCACACACACAATAAAACACATCCACAGGCCAGGCGGTGGTGGCACACGCCTTTAATCCCAGCACTCGGGAGGCAGAGGCAGGCTGGACCGAAAGCCTCCAAAACAATACAGAGAAACCCTGTCTTGTAAAAACCAAAAAAAAAAAAAAAAAAAAAAAAAAAAAGCACATCCACAAACACGAGCACATGCACATTAAGTAAATGTAAATTTTAAAAACACGTTAAAAGCCAGGCAGTAGTGGTGTACGCCTTTAATCCCAGCACTCAGCACTCAGGAGGCAGAGGCAGAGGCAGGTGGATCTCTGTAAATTCGAGACCAAGCCTGATCTACAGATTGAGTGCCTGGATACCAAATCAATACAGAGAAACCCTGTCTTGAAAAACCAAAAAAAAAAAAAAGAAAAGAAAAGAAATTAGCATACAAACACAGCTGAAATGCTGGATGAAACGAATGACTTAAATACAAATTAGCAAATTGACTCAGAAAATCTACATAGATAAACTTGGAAGAAACTGACAAAGTCTTAGATGCACCCTTCAAAACCTTGAGAGTGGCACATGGTGGCAGTCCTGGTGCCAATACTTGGGTGCTAAGGTAGATGATCACTTGGCCTGGAGTTTGCCAGCCTAGGCAGCATAGTGAGACATCATC